AACAAAACCAAAAACCAAAAAGACAACAAAACCAAGACAAAACAACATGAAGCAAGTATGGTTTGGTTTTTAAGCAAGCCTTAATTCCAGCTGATGTCCCTAGAGTTTCAGGGCAAACCCTGACATCCTAGAAGGCAGCTGAATGGGGCAATTTTGATAAAACCTGTTGCATGCAAGGACGACCACAATACGGATGATGTTTAAGAGCTTGGCTTGCAATAAAGAAATCTGAACAAATTACAGGAGTAACAGATATGAGAATGACAGAGATACGCCAGTTCTTACTAAGTGACATATTTGATGGAATCTTAGTGTCTAAAAAATATCGTGGAAGATGTCACTGCAGTTTAGAACAAATTATGAAGTCCTATTCAGATGTACTTGAGGTTGGTGAAGTAGGGAATTTGTTGGCCTTCCAACAAAGGCAGAACTTTAGAGAAGGAAGCCACATACTGAAGTATTTCATTTAACAATGAGTCATTACCAAAACCAAAATATTGAAAGCCAGATGTTTAAAGGTATTAAGATACTTAAAGATGGCTGAAGCCATCAGTAGTTGTTACAGTGGTGCTACAGACCCTAAAACTCTGGCCCTAAATTACACGTCAGTGGTACAACTGCTGGTTGTCATGTTCAGCCCAAAGGAGAAGGCAAGGATGGGAGCCCAAAGCCCTTGAGGGCTGAGCACATTGTCTATGAGAGTGAGCAAGAGTAGAGGTAGTGGGAGATGGCAAAGAAAGATTGAGCAGTGGGACTTCCAAGAATAAAATGAAGAGATGAGAGGGAAAATAAGGAACAGAGAAAGGGAAGTGGCAGAGTGAAGCAAAAGAGGCAAGACAGAGCAAGGAACAGAGGATGAAGCTAGGGAGGACACTTCACTGGCAGGAGAGAGAAGCAAATACGGTGTTTTATAAAAACTGTAGAGTGGGGTAGAGGGAAATGGAAAAAGAGGAGAGAGGAGGAAGAGAGGAGGGGAAAGAAAAATCTAATTGGAAAGCATGGTAAAGACCAGAGTCAAGATTGTAGAGAAAGAAAGAGAAAAAGAAAACAGAATGGCAACTAGGGAGGGAGTAAGAAGAAAAGTCAATATAATAAAGGTAGGATTGGACTGCACTGGAGTTTCTCCTTCCCTTTTTACCTTCTGTAAGAATACATTTGCCCTTCTTGTAAAGAGAAAAAAAAGGAAAATGGATAATACTTAGGGCCATAGCAACTCTGTGTGAGAACTGAAGTTTGGCAGAATGCCTCAGTAATAAGCAAGAATGCCCCAGTGTCAGTGAAGGCTGGATGAATTAGTAGCATTTTGTGTTGCTCAAAACGTGCACATTTGAAGAATTGTCAGAAACCCTCAGACCTTGCTTGGAGCAGCTCTAAAAGCGAGAGCACAGAGTACTCCGTGTGCTCTGCGGAGCAACACCATGCGGAGAGGAAAACGTGTTCCCCTCGCGGGGCAGCGCAGGAGGGTCGGCGTGGAGCTGTGCGGATGCGTTTGAGGTCCTTCAGATACGAGCTGTTGCCTCTCCTTCCAGAGCACTGGCTAGGCTGCTGATGCATGAAATGTAGGCAGTGGCAGCCATGGCGCTACCATTGCGGTTTTTCCCTGCTTTTTTTTCCTTTTTAAAATGTTTTTGTTGTTGTTGTGGGGTTTTGTTTTGTTTTGTGTTTTATTCATGCTGCTTGTAGCTGTGGTGGCTTGACCTGGGTACAGTCAATCAGCAGCTTTGCTCCAGCCCGAGCTATCTGTACGCTGCTCCGCAGGGTGCACTGGGCTGTGTTCTGTGTCATAAATACCCCTGTATGGCTGAGATGACAGTACCTCTGATCAGGAGTAGCACAACTTGAAAACCTACTTTCTGAATAAAATTGAAGGTGGTTAGGCAGAGCTTTTCTGGGCAGCTCCCTTACACACCTATTGAATTAATGTGGGGTGTTCTGGGTGAGGAGCTTTGTTTGATTTCTTGAACCAGCCTCACTTGTAAGGGTTTTGTGCAAACACTCATCAAAACACTGCTGGGCAGAGCAAAGAGTCTGGAAATATAAAACAGACTCTTCCTATACTCAGCTACAATTTTTATTCTTATATATACACACACAAAATTCTCCTTATCGCATACATTCTATTATTGTACATTATATTTTCCTGAACGAGAATAAATTGCAGGCTTACATCTAGTTCTCACTCTCTTTTATTGTTATTTTAAGCAGCAGGTAAGGTTATAATCCATCTGTGTTTGTGACCTTGAACAAGAATGGGCACTTTCTCATTTACATAATGCTATTTTTTACTGAGCCATTAAACTGCAGAAAAACAGGGCCAGCATGAAAAGTAGTCATCTACATATGTTAAAAAAAATAACTGCAGTAAATCCAACTGAAGAAAGCAGGCTTTTAAGGATATGCTAGAGTTCAAGAAATTAAAAAGCAAATGGACTGTAAAGGCAGTTTTACTGCAAGCAAAACCTCCCAAAATAAGATTCTTGACAAACACCTCTCTGTGCATTTGGTGCACTGGTACTCTGCTTGCGTGAAAACTGCTCCCCTGATGCTTCCTGCCTTCATCTGGAGGGATGCTCCTCGTTCCCCTGGGAACCACAGCTCCGCAGCCCATGGCACAGAGTGCCCCAGTGTTATGAACCTGTTTCAAAATTTTGCCTGGGGGGAAAAAACCCACAGTACTGTGCTGGGCTGTTGCATCACAAATTGTGTATGTTAGCGCTGAGATATGAAATAACCTCAGCTTTCTCATGTTGTGAATAACCATTACGGCAGGAGCTGTAATGACAAGACATGGTGATTTGAAAGGAGTGAAACATTAGATTTACTGCTGTTGATTCAGTTTCTGAAATGGGCACTAATCTTGATCAATAGGCTTTCTGCAGCTTCTGGGATACATTTTATCAAGCTGTCACACTGACTTTTTTTTTTTTTTTTTTTTTTTTTAAAGCTTGTGATATTGTTAACTTGTGCCTTCCTAAGTGGGATTGTGCCAGGCCTTTGCAGGCGGGGAGGGTAAGGGAAACCTCACTGCAGACAACCCAAGGGCAGGTACTGCTTCTGCCTTCTCCCAAGCAGTGAAGCAGCTCCCTGCCAGGGCTCCCTGCCAGGGCTGGCTGCAGCTGAACCCAGCAGCAGAGCAGCAGTAGTGCCAGGGGATGTGCTGCCTGCAGACGTCAGGGAAGCAGCCCCTGGTCAGGGTGAAGGCTGTGGGTGAGCTATTGCTGAGGGCTGTGCATGCTGCGTCTGTGCTACGCTTATCTGGTTTGCAATAGTTCCTTTTAGCGCTTCAGGAGCTGCAAAAGGCTCAGTGTGGAATCAGCTGTCATCGAACTCCAGTATGCCATCAGCAAACATGGAATCAGGATGGAGCTGGCAGTCCTGCTAGTGATTCACAGCACACAAATCCAGCTCGGCTGCTCTAGTTACCCTGCAGTGTCTCCGAAGCGAGCAGCGCAGCTGTCGGGCAGTAGCCGTAGTGCAAAAGCAGTTAGCTGCACGGCTCCCATTTGTGCTTTTTTCAGTACATTATTCATTTGTATTACAGTAGCTCCTAATGGCCCCAAATGAGATCAAGGCAACACTGGCTGGAGGCTGTGCATGTAGTGTAAGACAGCTCCTGAATCCGGGAGCATCTAATCTAATCAGCTAGGGAGTGTCTGTATGACAGAGTATAGTTTATGCCTTATTCTCCCACGGTGGCATGTGCCGTGGTCTCCTGGCCAGTACGCTGCTCGACATGGATTCCCCCGAAGTGGGAAACAACAGCAAAGTGCTAAAGCAGTGTAACTGTCACTTGAGATGGAGGTTAGATTATTATATGCGAGGCAAAGGAATATGCTCTCAATAGTTTCTGATTGCCTGTACAGCTTTTCCTGTGGAGACTTGACCATTCAGGGTGGATTCCCCTTCCAGAATGGAAATTCATAAAAACACCCTATTTGGGGCTGAGACAGGAGAGTAGAGTGTGACCCTGGCTTCAGATATGGAAAAAGTTCACAGGGGATGAGCTTTCAAACAAGGGTCTCAAATCCATGATTATGCTAATCCAATAACCTGAGGGCCGTGGATGAAATCCTGAATTCATTAAAGTTAGTGACAAAATATCCTCCCCTAGGGACTGGGGCAATGAAGCAACTGGAAATCCATTATTTCAAACTACAAGCTGATTAATGGGGTAATTTTTATACAGATTGAGGTATGTTTTCTGTCCCTTTCTCCCAGACCCAGAAATATATCCTGACTTGAAGCTTCATTCACACTTCATGCAAGAGATGACAGAATCCTGCTTATCGATGTCCTTACTTTTAAGAGGCATCGTAGATACAAATTTTAATGGTGTCTAGACTTGCAAGGTCTATGGCTTCAGAAGGGTAAAGGGTTTATTCTGGAAAGAATTTACTTGTGCAAACTCAGTGTGATTTTTCGGAACCTGTCAAAACACCTTTCTTCAAAATATTCATTGAAATATGTAATTTTGTACTAAATCTTACTATTGTATCAAAAGGTTTAAAATATTTGGAGATTTTTTTTTTTTGAAAGACTGTTTCTGCAATCATGGTAAATCTCAGCTGTCAGAAGAGGTAAGGCTCTGGAGGAAGAAAAAAGCCTGAAATATGTGATCCTTAAATGCTGATAAAAAGCTGGAGCGTAATTAAAAATAACTTACTTGAACATATTTCTTTTCTTGTCTTGTGAAGTCAGTCTCATGATGTCAGGGTCCTGTCATTTGTGCATGCTTCAGGATGCGAGTTTTTGGGGTAACTGTAATTTTCATGGAATACTCTAATAGGGAAGGGGAAGACATTGGTAGAAGAAAACTATTCGCTCTGGGGAGTACTGGGAAAAATCCTGGTTTATATTCTTTCCCAGCTGAAACCAGAAGTCATCTTATCCTAAGGTTAAAGCTCGTCTGTCCTGATCCAGTCATGTTAGTAGACTTCCCACAAGCCACTGTTCAATTGTCTTTGTTTTCTCTCTCTCTCTCTCTCTCCTTCTCTCTACAGTGTGATAATGACAGGTGCATACAACAACTTTTTTCGAATGTTTGACCGAAATACCAAGCGGGATGTTACCTTGGAGGCATCCCGAGAGAGCAGTAAACCACGAGCTATCCTTAAGCCCCGGAGAGTCTGCGTCGGAGGCAAACGGAGGAAAGATGACATCAGTGTTGACAGTTTGGACTTTACTAAGAAGATCTTGCACACAGCGTGGCACCCAACTGAGAACATCATTGCTATAGCAGCGACAAACAATCTGTACATATTTCAGGATAAAGTGAACTCAGAAATGCACTAGATTTATCAATATCCCTCTATATTTACAAACCAGCCTCTTGAGAGTTGTAGAAGGATGCGATCTTCGCAAAAATTGTGGCTTCTGTGGTGGGATTTGTAGGTTGCATCCTTTCATCCCTCAGCCTGTATCATTATTGGTGACAAGCCAACTATTTTCCATCACTGCAACTGTATGAGTAAAAGGCACGACTGCAAATCCAGTACTGTGGTCTGTATCAGTTCCTTTAAACAAACAGGGGTATTTATTTATCTTGGGAGTGTTCCTGAGGAGGGCTGAGACTCCTGAGCTCCTGGCAGTCCTTTCGAGGGTCTCAGCGGTTCACAGGACCATGCTGGTTTGGTTTGGTGCGCTGCCTGCTTTGCAGTCCACAGCATTTACCACATTGTTAGAGCTTTTTGCCTCAATCTCTTGATTATTTTGTTTTCAGTAACGTTTTCCTGTTTTTCAACTAAGCCAGGCCTGTTTGAGTGAACGGATAGCCACATCCCTTTAGAGCACGTGGCACATCGGAGGGGCCTTGTGACAATTATAACGGGAAGCAGAATCCCTGCTGGTGAGAACCTGCCCTGTCTCACCCATCCCATTCCCTTCCTTACAACACCCTCTTATTTACTTATTTATTTATTCACATTACTAACTTTGTGCTTCAACTTCCCGAGTGAGTAAGTGACAGACTGGTATAGTTACTCAGCCAGCTTATTTTAAAAAGTTCATTCTCCATAGATCTCTGCTCTGTTTAAAACAATAACTAGTATCTTCGTCACGTGGAGGACTATTAAAAAACTCGGTATTGCCACTCCAGAGGGCCTGGCTGGTCAGACACAGCCTGGCAGTTAACACACAAACCTGTCCTACTGTTTAGGGGCTGGAGTTCTGCAAACCTCGGCTAGAGGTGCTGTCCTGGAAGGCAATGATTGACTTCAGTGGGAACAAAGTTACATCACTGCTAGATGCTTCAGAAGGTCTCTCGTTTGTTTTCTGCAGCGTGGTCATATTAAGCCTGGCCTTTGGGGAACACAGGCAGTGCCGTGGGATCTGTAACGGCAGAAAGAATGCTAGTGGGAAATGCAGTGAATTTTAATGTTTTAACATGAGTCCGCTGCTGGGCGACAAAATTATTGCTGGAGAAATACGAAAAATCGAAAACTCCAAACCAAACAAAAGCTTCTTCCACATAAATACCTTTAGATCTATCTCTGTTTCCAAATGAATAGTGATGTAAATGGGAAATGAAAGTACATGCATTCGGCCTACCACACGCAGGAATTATACGGGACTGGTGCAGTGGGCAGGGAGTCCTCTTAATCCAGGAAAAGAAAGTTCTGCTGCATCCCTAATAGCTCTGGCTGCAAAATTAATATCTCAAAGGATTTCTCCTCGAACCTTGAATAAAAGAACATAACTCAGATGATCTGTTAATCTGCCCATATTAAAACTCCTCAGAAAAAAAATGTCTTATTTAAGCCTTTATGCACTGATTTCTTGGTAAGTGGAGAATGTACTGATGAAGGGATCTGCATGCTTTTATATTTTGGTTTGGGGAAAGGGTGAGTCAAATTCTGCTTACAAGAACTAAAAATAAAAAAGTCTACAGCTTTTATATGACATCCTGACACAACACATGAAATCTCTGTTTGAAGTTTTCTAGATCAATGCTGTATATTTTGTGTGTAGAAGCACAAACGCATGTGCATCAGTTTCCAGCCACACTAAACACATACGGTATGAAATGTGTAGGTTAATTTTAAAGGGAATGAGGAATGTTTGTTTATAAAATACTGTATGCTGTAGCAGGGGTGGACAGTATATGTACATATTTATTCTAATGAAATTTAACAAAATTGCTTTTCTTTTTTTTTTTCTTGTAAAAAGATTTAAGAATGTGGTAAATTGTATAGAAAACTTGTTAATGCCAAACTACTGCTTCAAGGGTGTCATACAATTTCTTTGATTTTTGGCCTCCTCCATTAACTTTTGCAGCTCAAAAAAAAAAAAAATCCTATAAGCTCATATTGGCATTTACAGCTAGAAGTACTTTAAAACATATATTTAGCTTTTAACATTCTCAAGTAAGATTCTATAGATAACTTATTATAAAGCAGATCTTAATACAACAATTTTTTGTTTTTAATTTGAAGTACCTTACTCTGTTACAGCTTTGGGTACCAAAAAGAACGTGTTAAAATTAAATAAAGAAATATATCTTTGGAGCTTTATAAAACTAATGAAATACCCAACCAAAATACCATTAAGTGATTATAGAGGAAATAAATAGAAACGTTTCAAAGACCAGTATTCCATTCCTGTCTTTGACATCGCTACTACAGATTGGTTTCCTGGTTTCTTGAATGTATGGAAAGTTAACATCGTCATTGTGAACGTTTCCAACTTTCTTTCTCCTTTTAGTTTGAGCTTTCAGTGGTGTAGAGTAAGTGATGGTAAAGTTGGTAAATCTGATTGTTTTGAAAGCTGTTGTTCATGGCTGCATTCTTTGTGTTGCACAAATTAGCTAACTGTTGTTGAATAAAAATATAAATATGTTAATACCAGCTTTTTCAATAAAACTACAACCAAAAAGGCATAAATAGATGACTTCAAGGCACAGCTTATTTTTAAGCTAGACATGAAAAGGTTGCTCAGCTCCTTTTACAAAGGAGGAAGAGTCACAGGGATCAGGACTCACAGGGCAAGCTGTGTGAACTTAAAGTGTTGTGGCAGGTAGAGAAGTAAACACAGTGCCGTGAACGGGGTTGACTTGTGGGTTTAGGGTGATGAAGAGTGTGCACAGTTACAGGAGAGCTGGAGATACACTTTTGGTTCACACCTTGGACCAGCTTTTTCCTTTGCTCACAGCCCAAGACAGACTTTAGGAGATTTGAATCTCAGTCTCCTAACAGATGGAATAAAAGACATGCGCAATGTGAAGGGATGCGCACAATCACAGGGTGAAAAAATGGCATGAGGGTCATCACTGGCCAGGTTGGAGACCTTCCAGTGCAGCAGACTGTGAGGGCACGTCTGGGATGAGTCCAGGCCTGGCCTCCCGAATGGGACAGATGTTGGCCCAGGTGACAAACCAGAGGGCTACCAGCAAAGCAGCGTCCCTCTTTCCCCCCACCACTCTCTTTCGACCTCTATGCCAGGGGAAAATTAAATAAAAAAAGAAGAAGAACAACAAAAAAAGCTGACTTGGCACACACACATTTAAAGCTAGGGAAGTGCTCACTTCCCAGTCAAACCTGGGAACTGACCCTTCCCAGTCATCGTGGTGTTTGTCCCAGATCTTGGGCTCTTATTGGGAACCTCAGTCTAAGGCAGCTCCCGCTGCCTGCGTGTTCCGCACAGAGCCCCGGGGTGACAAACCGCCTGGGCATCGGCACAGGACAGTTAGACACGGAGAGACTAAGTCCTTTTCCTGGATGCAGCCCAGAATAAATGTGCCTCAGCTGTTAGATTAGGCAGTGTGTTGCTTTGCACAGCTCTCCCAGAGCTTGCATGCTAATTTCTCCCCCCGCCTTTTTTGGGAAGACACAGTCAATCCCACTCATTTAGATGGACAAATATGACTAGGCACTGAAGAGAGAAATCTCAGCTGAAAATCAACACATCAAGCAATACACTATTTACCTTTCCAGTTTCTCTTTTCATCCCTAAATACCCAGCAGGAGCAGGAGTCACATGGCTAACTCTCATGCTTTGGAAATTTTCACACGCACACTTAGTAGCCGCATACGGAAATTTAACCCTTCGTGGTTTGGGGAGGGATATTGGTGTGAGCCACCTGCTTCTCCTGTTTGCAGCCAACAAGTCGCCTCGCTTTCAAGCCAAGTTTGGATCTTCCAATGTTATAATTATTAATCCCTGACGAGAAGGCAAGTATAAGGATTGTTTGCCTTCTATGTCCGATTTCCAATAAAATTATTATCATCAATTTGCTCCCACTCCCAGTAGTATCCTTTTCCATTTCAGTCTTAGCAAATTGCATTAAGTCTAAAATTAGAGCATGAATTCACTTATCTTGCTCATGTGGTAGAACCTTGGAAGGCAACAGGATTACTGGAGTGGGTTGAAATTCAAAAACTTGTGCCTAATTTCATAAGATGGGGGGACAGGGTATGTTTCTTTCGTTTTGCAAAGCTTTGAAATGGTCTGGATATTCTGTACAGGACAGTTTGCCATGTGCATCGGAAAGGTTTGCTTTCAGAGCACACCATGAGAAAGCTTTTCTTAGCAGGGATATTTTTTTCCTTCTCTCTGAAGTTGGACGAGGATCAAACTTTTATTCACGTGAACGTGAGCACAACTCTTTAGGCACTTACTTAAAGATCCTAAATCTGGCCGGTGATGCAAAGCATTTCATGTGAAGCACCTGACTGAGCAAAATCCTCAGTTCCCTCAGCTGTAAAAGCTGCCATGAATAAGGATCAGCCAGGCAAGCTACAATTAATCACTTGTCTTGCTGTTTGCCAAGTGAAGACAGTCAATGAGTAGGACAAGCTTCTTAAATCATCAATTCCATTAAACAATTATTTTAATTATCATGGTGACTCTATATAGTCTTTTTAGAATATGGCCTCTCAAAAGAATACAACCTACAACAGGGTCTCTATCAAAGGACGGGGGTGTGCTGGGCAGCCACTCCTTCTTTAAAACTAGTACTAATCATACTCGTAGCAGGTGTGTGTCTCATGCAGCTGCCTGATCCAAGGTATTACAACAGATTCTGAAGCAGACTCAATACAGGACGAAATTCTTCAACTGGTCATAAACTGACAGTGCTCCAGGGAGAGGAGTACTTGGCTCGGAGAACTCCAGAAACCCCACCTTCTGTGGTTTCATCATTATTTCTCCAACAGGAGGAACAACTCTGGGGAAAAACTTACTGTAAATGATAAATAATAAGTAATTAAAACTGAAATTAGGGTCTCAGATTTGGGTCAAAGAGGTTGGTATTCTTCCATGCTCTATCTATAAAATAAATGCTGCCCAAGCAGGACACCAGAGTGAGACCCCACTGCCAATAATTGTGCCAACGTCCCAGCCCCGGCCGGCTCTCACTTTAATCTCTCCTTTGCGAGGCTGGAAGACCTCCCAACAGCTCTGCTAGGCCTCCTGGACTGGGCTCCTTCTCACTTTGGTGGGAAGATGCAGAAGGAAGCAGAGGTTTCCCTCAAATAGGAGAGATACTAGCATTGCTAT